GAAGGTTCGATTTTCCCCTTCGCTGTTGAGAGAGATTTAAAGACTTAAACGCATGGGTTACTGCTAGTTTGTACCCTAAGCCTCTGGAAATTTTCATTGTGAAACGTTCCTGTCGGTTTTCTTTGCGCTTAGGCTATTTTAGTACAGATGTATGTACTCCCTTCCCATATTTCCATATTTACAAGCGTCTGAGTGCTTTCAGGAAACATTGTGTAGGGCCTTCAAATTTTTTTTTTTTTTTTTTTTTTTTTTTTTGGAGACAGGGTTTCTCTGTGGCTTTGGAGGCTGTCTTGGAACTATCTCTTATAGACCAGGCTGGTCTCGAACTCACAGAGATCCACCTGCCTCTGCCTCCCGTGTGCGGGGATTAAAAGCCTGCACCACCATTGCCTGGCGCAGGCTTTTATATGTCCATGAACATTATATATACATATATGTGTTTACATACATATATACACGTATGTTAACAGTAAAATGTATAAACATATTAGCATATGTTCTAGGACTGAACTACACCTGCCAAGAAATGTGTCTGATCTGAATTGGAATGTGTTAAAAATGTAAAGCACAACAGATTTTTTTGAGAATTAACACAATTAAAATACCCTTTTGCATCAGATTTTGAAAGGACAGTATTGGGGTGTGGCTTGGGTGTAGCTCAGTGGTACAGCCCATATTTTAGTGTGCACAAGACCCTGTGTTTGATCCCCAGCACCACATTTCTCTAAAGGAAAAAATATTTCAGATATACTGGGTCAAGTAAAATTATAATTAATTTCATCAGTTTTTAACGTGACTGTTACACATTGTTTTTAAAAAATGTGGCTTGAAATATTTTTGTGGGACAGCATTGCTCTAAGAAAGGCCTTAAAAAACAATGCCCTGTGGCCAAATACAAGACTGCCCATTTTCTGCTTTGAAATAGGGTCCCTTGTAGTCCTTACTGGCCTCTCTGTGACTCATCAGACCGGCTTTATGAAGTGCTAGGGGGCAAACTCGGGCCCCTTGTGTGCTTGCTAAGCACTTTACAAACAGCCTCATCTTCAGCTTCACTCCCCCCCACCCCCATGCATGCCTGGAAGCCAGAGATCAACTTAGATGTCTTTCGAAATTACTGTCCCTCCCACTTTGAGACAGGGTCTGTCACTGAACCTGAAACTCACCAATTCAGCTAGACTGCTGGGGATTCCAGATCCAGGTACTGGTTGCACAACAAGCAGTTTACCAGCTGAGCCATCTTCCCCAGTCCCAGCCTGCATATTTTATTATGTTTCAATGTATGTAGATGTCTGGGTATGTGCACATAAGTACCAGTGCCACTAGAGGCCAGAGGTATCAGAGCTTTCCAAAGCTGAGCTTACAAGCAGTTGTAAGCCACCCAGTGTAGGTGATGGAAACTGAACTCGTGTCCTCTGCAAGAGCAGTACACACTCAACTGCTTAGAAATTGCTCCAGCTCCATTCAGTATTTGCTATCTTTTGTTCTTGCTACAAAGGTAGCAGAGTTGAAAAGTCCCTCCACCAGAATTCTGAAGTATTTCCTATCTGTCCTTTTACAGAGAGTGTTTGCTGTCCTGTCCTGGAACACCACTGGTATGGTAGATATTAAATCTTTTTAAATGGTTTTTAAGAAAAAGTCTCATTATAAACTCATACTGTCTGGCATTGACAACCCTCCTGTCTTAGCCTCCTGAGTGTGTGCCAGTATACTTGGAAAGATTATTTAAAAATTACATTTGTTTATTGTGTGTGAATGAGCATTGCCACATTGTCTATGTAGAAGTGGGATAACTTGTCAGTTCTCTTCCTCTGTTATGTTCTAGAGATTGAACTCACATGGTTAGGATTGCAATAAGAAGTTTTACTCACTGAGCCCCTGGCAATGTTTTTTTTTTAACTTTCTATTGTAAATTCACATAATTTTCAGTCACTTTATAAAGACTAAGCACTTCGTTAAAACTGTCTCAATTAAACTGGGTGGTGGTGGTCCACGCCTTTAATCCCAGCACTAGGGAGGCAAAGACAGGTGGTTCTCTGTGAGGACAGCCTGGTCTACAGAGCTAGTTCTAGGACAGCCAGGGCTGCTACACAGAGAAACGCTGTCTCGAAAAACAAAACAAAACAAAACCAAACCCAAAACACCAACAAACGAAGCTATCTCTTTTCATTTGAATACTATTCCAAGGTGGCAGAGTCACCCCATTTTGAAGATGAGGAAGTAGAGGCACAGGATGATCAGTAAACTTAGCCAACTTGTTAATACCCTCCCTCAATTCCAGGAACTATACTTTTTTTTGGTCTTTTTGAGACAGGGTTTCTCTGTAGCTTTGGAGCCTATCCTGGAACTCATTCTGTAGTCCAGGCTCACCTCACAGAGATTCATCTGCCTCTTCCTACTGAGTGCTGGGATCAAAGGTGTGCACCACCACTCGGCTCAGAATAGTAGGTTTTGTTATGGCATTTTTATTTGTAGAAGTCATTATATTTTATTCTAATTATCTCCCTCATCCACTGCCATCTCCGTGTTCTCTTCCCCCTCTGACAGATTCCCTTCCTTGCCCCAGATAACACCCCTTTTGCTTTCATGTCACATGTATTCCATTACCCTCTCTTCACCCTCTCTCTTTTCATTATATCCCCTCTCTAGTTTTATGATAGAAGATTTTTAAATGATTTTCTTAAAGAATTGAGGTGGACTTTGTCTTCCAGGACTTAGATACAGTGAGTGGGTAAAAGGAAGTTGCTGCATAGTGACAAGAAGCTCACAAATTGAAAGGAGAGAAAGCATCCTGGAAACTTTGCCACTTGTTTAACAGAAGAACATATCTCGGGAGCTGTTTGGTAGGTGTGTTCAAGGGAAATGTGGGAAATGTAGACAAAAATGTTTTTAAATATGGTAAACATGAAAACACTGTAGTTATTTGATGTTTTTCACTGATTTTCTGTTGTTAGATGAAATTCATATCCCAGGCTTATTGTGAAGACTGAGGTAACCTGAGCGTGAATAGCACCATAGACTTACTCAGTAAATGTCCATTGCCTTCCACTGTTCAGAGGTAAGTATTAGAGACTATCAGGAATCATATACAACACAACATTTACTATATTACAATGCAAAGGATGCTAATTTGAATTGTACACAGCAGTGTTTTTAATAGTTTCTTATGTAATGGGACTTACTTAACATAATGTGAAGTTAGAGAGGTCAGTGTATTCAGTGAAGGAGCAGGACTGCAGCTCTGTTTGAAACTAATGATAACCTGTTGGTGGGGTAGGTTGGAAAGGTGAATTCCTGTGTGTGGTTTAAATCCGAATTGGCTGGAGAACTGGACAAATGCTCAAGTCCTACCCTCCGAGACTCCAGTTCATTCTATCTGGGGTGAGGCCCTGGGGTTGTTTGCTTTAGATTTTATTTGATTTCCTTGGATGATTCTAATATACAGTCAGGGTTAAGAAGCATCCATGGTGATAGCATGAGGCCAGGTTTAGGGAACTGCTGTAGCAAAGGCACAACTGCGTAATGGAACCATGCCTGTCTGTGGTTTAGAGTAGTCAAGGCAGAGGCCAGGCTGAGGTGCTATTCATCCCATGGACAGAGCCTAGTCTCTATCCTGTGAGTAGAAGGGAATGTCTGAAGGACTTTAAGCAGAAGAAAACACACACACACACACACACACACACACACACACACACACACACACACACACACACACACACACGAGAGTTAATGAAGCAAACTCTGCAAGGAAAACAATCTATAACTCCAGTCTGATATTTTCTTGTGGCCCCCACAGGTATCAGTCATATATGTGATGCAAAGACATACATGCAGATAGGCAAAACACCCATACATGTAGAATTCCACACAAAGAATTTTCTTCAAACTTAAAAAAGACCCTGCAATAGGGGATTTTTAAAAATACATTTATATGGCATATAAGTTTGCATAAAGGAAATACTGGTATCCTTTTTTCACAACTTTTGTGTAAATCTAAAAGTATTTCCAAATAAAGAATAAGTGGGTCATCTGGATTTGACCCTGTTTTTCCAGCACCTCAGTGTCAGCACATTGTACTCTGTTGACTTTCAGGGTTCAGCAGCCCTGCTTCCCAACCTGTAATATCTGTTTCTTTACATTGGTTCAGATATCAGTATCCCCATTTTTGTTGTTTCCTTTTTATATTCAGAAAAGTATCACTGCAAAGATTATAAAGGCATTAAGTATCTCGGTCTCATAACTGAATATGAGGAAAAAATAGCCCAGTATTTGCTTAGCATTGTCTTATGGATGCTTACATGAGCATGATTTTATTCCCAACATGATCATCAAATTCCACCCAAGATGAACTGATTTTTTTTAGACAAGGTCTCATGTATTCCAGGCTAGCCTCAAATTTTCTATGTACCTAAAGATTGTGTTAAACTCATGTTCTTTTTGTCTCTATCCCCAGGTGCTAGAATTGCAGGCATACATTACCATGCTAGGTTCCTGAATAATTTTAATCTAGAAAGGCACTTATTTGTACAGTTGGAGGTGGAAAAGTTGATAATCCTAGCTGATAATCCTAGCAAGGCTTTGAATGTTCTGCTGAAACTTTGCAGAGCCATTTTTTTCCTTCAGCTATTGAAAATAAAAGTATTGAAAGTTGACTATTTCACATTGTTGTATTATCTAATCTGCCACACCACCACACACTTTTATATCACATTACTCCTTCAGAAAATATCAAATGTACTGGCAGGAGCTGCAATTAATAAAGGCAAACTTTAAAAGATTGAACCGTCTTTTTTTTTTTCTTTGCAGCTGTGAAGATGGCTGAAAGAAAACATATCATTGCCAGGGCTTCCCTGATTGAGCAGCTGGTGTCTAAAAGGTATTTTGAGGATATTGCCAAAGAGCTTACTGAGCTTGAAATGATTTATGTGTCTAAGGAGCATCTCCAGGAGACAGATATAGTCAGAGCTGTATACAGAGTCCTCAAAAACTGTCCCTCGGTGACTTTGAAAAGGAAGGCCAAGTGTCTACTGGCAAAGTGGAGAGCTTTCTATAAGAGTACACATTACAAAACAAAGGAAAGCCTTAAATCACTCCATTATAATGTTAATAAAGAAGGTACAGCTAGTTCTCAGGATGTGAGCCAGGAGGAGGAGTTCGTTTCGAGCCAGGATGAAATATCAGGTCTTTGCAAGTCTCTCTCTAGGCTTGTACCCCATGCTGCTGCTGCTGCTGCTGCTGCTGCTGCTGCTGCTGCTGTTCCTGCTGTTCCTGCTGCTGCAGCAGCAATTGGGTCTGAAAGTAGCATCACTGAAATGGAAATTAACGAAGAATATTTGGGGGGTGGTGACTCTGAATCCACTAGCAAGAGCTCAGGTGTGTTACAAGAATCCCTAGTGTCTGTTAGATCTAAAGGCATAGAGCTTCTTTACTCGGCATTAGCTAGTTCTTCTACAGATTACACAAAAACTCATTTGTGGCAGAACCTTGCAAGAGAAATTGAAGAGCACATTTTTACCCTTCATTCAAGCAACATCAAAAAATACAAAATTTGTATTCGAAGCAAAGTTGCCAATTTGAACAACCCCAAGAATTCTCATTTACAACAAAAGTTGCTCTCTGGAACCATGTCTGCAAGAGAATTTGCTGAAATGACTGTCCTGGACATGGCAAATGAGGAACTGAAGCAGTTGAGAGCTTCCTACACAGAATCCAGTATTCAGGAACATCACCTTCCCCAAACAGTTGAAGGCACACAGACAAATAAAATAAAGTGCAGGCGCTGTGAGAAATATAACTGCAAGATCACTGTAATTGCAAGAGGAACACTTTTCCTTCCAAGTTGGGTGCAGAATTCAAATCCGGATGAACAAATGACCTATGTCATTTGTAATGAATGTGGGGAGCAGTGGTACCATAGCAACTGGGTGTGCTTGTAATTTGTAAATAATCCCTTCAGGGGTGTGTGTTTTATGTGTATAACATAACCCTTTTGTGTTCATTTTTTATAGAATCTTACTGCTATTTTGTCTTTGGGATTTTGGCTTGTGAAAGATCTTACTATGCAAGCACAGTTAGCCTCAGTCTCCTCAGAGCTGGAATTACAGATATACACTACCACACCTGGCTTGGTATACTGTTCTTACTACAGTCCTGGGAATAAGGAAAGAGAGTTGTTTGCCAAAGTGCAGGCCACCATTGTTAAAAAGTTGTTTGGGAAAAGTACAAGACTATCACGTTGTACTTGTGGCCATTCAGAGTAGCACAGTAGCTCTACACAGCCTGAGATCATGTTAGAGAGGCAGACTCTCTGGACTGATACTCTTTGAATCCTGATCTGCAACTTGGTAGAATCCCCAGGTCATCCTCTGATAAAGTTGCAGGCCTGTGGGTTTCAGAATGACTATACATTAGAGTTTTCTTGGGCGCATTGAAGTATACTGGTGCTGAGGGCCAAGCCTAGAATAATTCAGTCTGAACCTATGGCGTGGGACCCAGGCATCAACATTGCTCTGGTTATTTCTTAGTTTGCTTTAAGTTGTTGTTAGAGTTGAGAAATACCTGTAAATAGTCTCATTTGAGCCTTTCTATAGTTCTGAAGAAATGAATGATATTCTGGAGACTTACAGATGAGGAAAGAGGCCCAGAGATCTTCAGTGACTTAACCAGGTTACATAACTGTAGGTAGTCTGCCTCACACTGATCCCAAATTATATACCTTCCTTCTGAAGCAAGTGTGATGGCACATGTCTGTAATCCAGATGCTAGGGAGGATGAAGCAGGAAGGTTTATGTGAGTTCAGGGCCAATTTAGATTGTAAAGTCCCTGTCTCAAAAAAATAGTACAAGTACATTGTGGTGCTTCAAATACATAATCCTAGCATTGGAGATGCTGAGGCAGACTCCCATGGATGAAGCCAGCCTGGGTTTTGTAGAGAAAGAATGTCAAAACAAAAAGATGCACAGTCTGAATATGACTTCCTATTGACTATGCAAAAAGTGCACTCCTGGAAATGGGTGCTAAGAAAATAGTGTTTGGGGCCTCTTAAGTTTACATGACTAGAGTTTTATCCTTTTGTCCTTGATTTTCTCATTTTTACAAGTCTCTCTCTCCTTTTTTTTTTTTTTTTGATTTTTCGAGACAGGGTTTCTCTGTGTGTATCTCTGGCTATCCTGGCACTCGCTCTGGAGACCAGGCTGGCCTCGAATTTACAGAGATCCACCTGCCTCTGCCTCCTGAGTGCTGGGATTAAAGGCGTGCACCACCCCACCAACGCCCGGCACAAGTCTCTCTTAACCTATTAAAAGTTGCACTGTGAGTTAGAATTTGGATTAGAGCCTGCTTTCTTAGTTAAATGAGCTGTACATATTTCCCTTTGTGTGAGCTTGTCTTTATCTTCTTTATTATACATAGTTTATTGATGTCAGGAATCTTCATGTCTTCAAAGGCATGTGTGTTCACTCCCTCAGCCTTTGAATTTATCAACATTCATTTACTAACTAACTGAAGTGGAAATCACTTCTCTAAGGCCTTTGTTTACTGATTTATATGCTTAAACACAACAAGCCTCTTGTTTAATATTACTAATTTTTTTCCTTAAAAATGATATAATGTTATTTGGGGTTTTGATTCTTTAACATGTAAATCAATTTTATGCATAATCCACACAGAAGGTTACCATGTGGTTAGATATGCATTTTTTCTTTTGTTGTTTGACAGAGTATCTATTTTTATAAACCTGACTCCACTCTGTAGCCTAAGCTAGGCTCGAACTCCTTCTGGCCTCAACCTCTGGAGTGCTGTAATTTGGGGTATAAGACACCATTCATTGATTTTATCATATTAAAGAATTTATTTCTTAGTTCCATGTAAACTCACATGTTTTCATCAATTATAGTGCCCTAAATCCCCAGTATTCCTTCAGTGGAATCTATAGGCTTTTCTTTATGTATATTTTACCTCTTTATGACAGTTCCCCCAGTGGGTGCATAAAACTAGCAGATATTTCTATTTCCTGTGTTTTGAGGCTGTCAAGTCTGAATTATATTTTGTTTTATTTTCTTCATTTTGCATTCCAGTGGTGTTCATTATAATGTAATGTGTTAGTCCTTTAAACAGAAACTTACAAAGTCATCAACAACTCAAAAGTTTCACAAAGTGTGGTTTCATGTGACTTGGAATGATCTTAAAACCTAGATGGTGGTTGTGCAAGAGTGCACACAGCACATGAAAACCATGTTTAATTTGTTCAAGTCAGTGTTGGTATTTGGGTTTTCTATGTATCTGCATATAAGTACTAATATTGAGATTTTGTAATCTACATTTACCAAAAATAAAAGTACTTGAACTGGAAAAATCTCTCATTCTCCAAGATTTTTTTTTAAATATGTGCGGTCTTTCTCATTTCCCATAAGCTTTGTCAGTTAGTTTTGCAACTAGGGAAATGGTGATGTGTGTTTTATTCTTTTGGTCAGTGAGACAGTTACATTTTCTGAGTACAGATAATTCTTTCACATTGTAGCTCATCTCAGAGATAGAAAGAAAGGGAGGGAGGAGTGAGTTTGTTTGTTTGTTTGTTTGTTTGTTATAGGGTTTCTTTGTGTAGCCTTTGCTGTCCTGGAACTAGCTTTGTAGGCTGGCCTTGAACTGACAGAGATCTGCCTGCCTCTGCCTCCTGAGTGCTGGATTAAAGGCTTGCAAGAAGTGTTTCTTTTTCTTTTCTTTTTTATTTTGGTTTTTTTCGAGACAGGGTTTCTCTGTGGCTTTGGACTGTCCTGGAACTAGCTCTTGTAGACCAGGCTGGGCTCAAACTCACAGAGATCCACCTGTTTCTGCCTCCTGAGTGCTGGGACTAAAGGCGTGCGCCACCATCGCCCAGCAAGAAGTGTTTCTTTACAGTTGCTGGTGGGGTTGATTCTCTTATAGGAACAAAGAGCAACTCTACAAACTCCAAGATGAGAAGGTACCTGATTATAAGGGACAGGGATGTGAATGAGAGACAGCGTGAAAGAGCCACAAAGTTCGTAAGTTCCATTGTAGGTCATGATAACAATAAGGACTTGGGGGGAGTAGGGTGGTTTTGTGTTTAAAAAAAAAAACTAAAGCTAGGCAATTTGTAGTCATGAGATTTGAGTTCCTTTTAGGAGGATCACTGTAGCTTTGTTGAGTGATGAGAGAAATACAGATGGATATGGAAACACCAGTTAAGTGGCTATTAGCAGTGGCCAACTAAAAGTATAGAAAGAGGGGCTGAAAAGATGGTTCAGCAGTTAGAGCACTGGATGCTCTTCCAGAGGACTCTTCAATTCCCACCACCTACATGGCAGCTCACAACTGTCTATAACTCCAGTTCCAGGGAATCTGGCACCTTCCCACAGATATACATGCAAAGAAAACACCAATGTACATAAAATTTTTTAAAAATGAAAAAAAATGTATAGAAAGAACAGTTTTCTGTATCCCAATAGTTAATGAAGCCCTTAGCAATTTTGCAAATAACTGCAGAATGTCAGCCTGTGCCCCAGTCTCCATGGTAACTACATAGGGTGAAAACATCCATTTTAATACCTGAATGTGGGAAGGTTTTTTCCATGGGTTTTCCTGAATCAGTCTCCTTTGTCCGTACTTTTTAAAGTGAAGGATTGAGTACAATTGTGGCTCTGTCTCTTCCCTGGGTATTTCCTGTGATGAGAGGCTTCTTTCATTCCCTGATACCATTTCTAAGTGCCAGGCAGGAAGCTTGTGGCTGGCAGTACTCCATTGCCTTTGCTGGGGCTGGTCCTTCCTCTTTTAGGTAAATTGCCTTGTTTTTTATAATGCCCAGTAAATGCAAAATATTTTGCCACAGTATTTTTATGTCCCTCAGAGGTACTTACTGTAAGCACCCAGATTGTAAGAAGTAACTTTCTAGTCTCCGAAGAGTGCCACAATCAGATGGGCTAACGAATGACAACCTCGTACAATCCTATTCATATTTAAAGTAAGGTTGCCAAAGATGTTACCACACACTGTCAGAAACTGCATTGGAAGGATCACACATTTTGTCTTGCCAGGTGCTAACTTTTCTGACAGACAGGAGCCTCCTTGGATCCTTTATGTGATATCATATGGCCATCTGCTATTTTGAAAAGTGGATTTTAGAATTAAAAATGTTAAAAATTAAAATAGGAACACATACATTCAAGGTAGCTAAAGCTGGCCTCAAAGTTCCTATATGAATTTTTGTGGATGTATATTCTTGCTTTGTTAAAAAATGAAAATGAGCTGGGCAGTGGTAGTACATGCCTTTAAAACCAGCATTAGGGAGGCAGAGGCAGGTGGATCCCTGAGTTCAAGGCCAGTCTGGTCTATAGAGCAAGTTCCAGGATAGCCAGGGGTACACAGAGAAACACTATCTTTAAAAAATGAAAATGAAACATGAATATGAGTGTCAGTTCTAGGTACTTACCATGGTCATCATCATTCACTATTATTTGAGACCCCATCTCATGTAGACCTGGCTGGATTTGAACTCACTACTTACTATGTAACCATAACCACAAATGATCTTGAACTCCTGATCATCCTGTTCCCACCTCCCCAGTGCTGAGATTATAATCATGTAACCATCATGCTTGATTTTATGGGGTACTGAAGATTGAATCCAGGACTTTGTGTGTTCTAGGCAGGTGCTCTACTGATTGAACCACATTTCTGTTAATCCTTTTCAAATGATGACACATTTCTGAAAATCTAAAACAGGCATGGAAAAGTTACAGAACTAAGAAAAAAATTAAAATATTATTCATTTAGAAACCACTTTTTATCTTCAGAATAGAACCACTTCTGTAATGATGTAAACACAGATGCAGCTGCTTATAAAAGATGCCAAATGAAATTATAATTCACCAAATTTACCTTTGTGGATTGAAACAAAAATTTAACAAATTTCCAAGAGTACCCATGAGGCCCTGCCTGAGTCATCTGACTGGACTCCACCTACCGTGCCTCTCCTTAAATCAGTGGTTCTCAAGTCTCCTAATGCTTTGACCCTTTAATACAGTTCTTCATATTGTGATTCCCAACCATAAAATTATTTTCATTGCTACTTCATAACTGTAATTTTGCTACTACTGTGAATCATAATGTAAATATCTCTGTTTTTCTGATGGTCTTAGGTGACCCCTGTGAAAGGGCTGCTCAACCCCCAAAGGGGTTGAGACCCAGAGGTTGAAAACCATTGCCTTAAATGATGGAGGACTGAAAACTACAAAACAGTTTCAGTTTCCTTCCTTGGCCACAATATGACCACAATATAGCACTTATCCAATCTTCATCTGACATAATTCATATCTGACAGCTGAACTCACGAATAGCTCAGTGGAAGAAAGCTAGAGCCTGTATTCACCCATGTCTAAAAGCAAAGGGCTCCACAATTTCAGGGGATTGTGTCTTGGTATTCATGAGGCCACTGGGCAGGCTTATCTTACTGTGTTTTCAGGCAGAAGTTTCTATTTCTGCAGTTTTGTTTCCATTCAGTAGATGGCTTTTTGCTCACAGCTTTGTGAAAACCCACAAATGGTTGAGCAGAAAATTTTTATATAACTTTAGTGAACACATATATATATATATATATATATATATATGTTTTTCGAGACAGGGTTTCTCTGCCTCTGCCTCCTGAGTGGAATACATCTTAAAATAAGGTCGAAAGGACACAGGACTTTTCAGAAGTAATAAAACTGTGCAATTGCCTGATGTACACAGGTCTTTAATCCCAACACTCAGGAGGCAGAGGCAGGTGGATCTCTGTGGTTTCTTGGCCAGCCTGGTCTATAGAGTGGATCCCAGGCAGGATTGTGAGGGCTACATAGAGAGACCATGTCTCCAAAACAAAACAAAACAGTGCTGGAGAGATGGTTTATAGGTTAAGAGCACTGACTGTTCTTCCAGAGGTCCTGAGTTCAATTCCCAGCAACCACATGGTGGCTCACAACCATCTGTAATGAGATCTGATGTCCTCTTGTGAACTATATATATATAATAAATAAAAAAACAGAATAAATGCCATAAAATTGTTGGCCAATGGGTACTGAATTGTAGTCAGGACAAGGAAGCCTTGTTTCACATTACCTGGTAGGTGACTACAGATAGCAACTATGCACTATCTTAAAAAGTCACAAGAAGGGCCAGGTGGTGGTAGCACACACCTTTGATCCCAGCACTCGGGAGGCAGAGACAGGTGGATCTCCACAAGTTTGAGGCCAGCCTGGTCTACAGAGCGAGTGCCAGGAGAGGCTCCAAAGCTACACAGAGAAACTCTGTCTCGAACCCCCACCCCCAAAAGATGCTTAGTAGATATCAGTGTAGAGTTAAGTCAGCCTTTAGATTAATGGGCCTGGGATTCAGAGATGCAGGTCTAGGAAAGAATGGCAAATCCTAAACTCTAGAAGCCATAGATTTAGATAAGGTCACCAAATGATGAGTAGACACAGAGGAGATTGGAGGCATAAAATGTGGGTCATTCCACTGTTAAACAGTCAGGAAAGCAAAGAACTGACTGAGAGTGACTCATGGAAGGGAAAAACAGGCAATCTGCTCCAGCCATGAGAAAAACTGATCAACAAAAGGAAGTGAAAACTGGGAATGTTGGTGCAGGCCTGTAACTCATCTCAGCACTCAGGAGGCTGAGGCAGGAGGATTTTGCATTTGGGGCTACATAGTAAGCTTCAGGTCAGTCTGGACAGCTGAATGAGAGACTCCTAATGCACACACACATGCATGAATGCATGCACGCACATACCATTCATACATACATGAAAACTATCAAATGTTGTTGATCAGTTTCAAGGCTAAGACATATCTCTTGAATATAGCATCATGGAGGGGTTTGAGGCTGTTGGTGACTTAGACACATGAAAGGAATATTGGCAGCTAAGAACCCCTATCCAAAAGGGTGGCTAGCTTCTTTGTTGCTGTGGACAGGTAGCCTCTCACCAAGTGAATACATACAGGCATGACTGAGCACTCAGTAGGTCTGGGATGGAACCTGGGTGTCTCTGTACTTCTTTCCAGGTGGCCCAGGGCCCCCAGTCACAAGTAGGATCCCTAGTGTGAGGGCTTCACTGTGGCTGGCTGTATCTGCAGTGGTAGATGACAAGGTTCTTCACTGCACATAGATCTAACCAGCAGCATAGCATGCCAATGGATTGGGTTGATTCTAAAGGATTTTCTACTTTTCCAGGGCCTTGTCATTGATGAATTTCTTCTGCAGCTTGAAAAGCAAAGAAGAGACCTGGTGTGGTGGCGCACTCCTTTTATCCCAGTGCTCGGGAGGCAGAAGCAGGTGGATCTCCGTGAGTTCCAGGTCAACCTGGTTT